TCTAAAAGTTAGAGTCTCCGCCGGACTGAAAGTGAAGGCGCCCACCATACTCTCCTTCCCCTGTTCCATGGCTGAAACAGCAGGGCCTCGCCTTGCTGCGTCGCCTTATCTGAGAACAAGGGCGACGATTTCATTTCTTCTACCGCGCAAGAAGACTACAAATGCAAGATTGAAAACTCGCCTTTGTTTTGTTTGCTCTCTACATCGTCAGAGCGCCATGCCCCAGGACATGCCCCGCCCTCTGAACCGGCCGGATGAGGGGAGGACTTTTTGTGGGTGTTTTTCAAAATTATCTAAACTTTTAGGGTGTTCTTTGCAAATTTCAAAAATTTATGGCGTTGCTTATAACTTACAGATTTTGTACTTTATATAATTTTTGATATTATTTTGGGTGTTTCTATAATATTTTGACTTTTGCAAATGTATTTTGCAATTATGAAACATATAGGGTGTTTTTTGAAAAATGAAAACTTTAAGCAGGTTTTTGTAATTTGTAAATTATAAAATTTTCAATATTTAAAAATTTCAATTTTTTACTTATTTAAAATTTTGACTTATTTTGGGTGTTTTCTGCAACTTTTAAACTATCAGGATGTTTCTTGCAAATTTCAAAACTTTCATCCTGCTATTTATAAGTTATAGATTGATAAGTTACAAATTGTGTAGTGTTTGTAGATTTTGATTTTTCTAGGGTGTCTTTGTGTAAAATTTGACTTGTTTGGGGTATTTTGTTTAACTTTTAAAACTATTAAGGTGTTTTCTGCAAATTTTAAAATTTCATGGTGCTAATTATAAGATTTAGATTTTTTTTTTTACTATTTGTATGTTTTGCTATTTCTGGGGGTGTTTTTTCCTAAATTTTATTTTTGGAGGGTTTATGTTATAGTTTTTGAAACTTTTAGGGTGTTTTTTGGTAAATTTTGAAATGTTCATGGTGTTGTTTATAATTTATAGATTTTGTATTGTTTTGTAAGTTTTAAGATTTTCATGGTTTTGAGTAAATTTCTAACTTTTGAGTATGGTTTTTAATTTTTAAACCACTAAGAGTGCTTCCTTTAAAATATAAGATTAATTATTGATATTTTATAGGTATGTTTTAAAAATTTTGAATGTTAAGACTTAAATGATAAACGAATTAAAATTAAATAGGTCGACGGGTTGACTTGTTTATAACCCGATTAATAAATAAAATTTTCAGATCAACTCGTTTATAACCTGACCCACATGAAATAACTCATATTCATTTGTATCAGGTCGGATAAGACCAAATATCAGCAGGTCGGGTCATAAGTGGCCACCCTAATCGCTAGTAGCTTTGTGATTTAATATTTGTTTTTGGAAAGAAAAAGCAAGTGTATATTTCGCAGCATCAATGACACGTTGTCACCTAAAGTCTGAATGGACCCACCAGTTAATATTAGTTTAATATCTGTGGATTTAATTTATTCACACCTTTCATCCCAATAAAGCTAAAATAGCATTAAAATATGATATACTTTAAAAAAAGTTTAAACACGATTCTAATTACACTATGGAAAATTGTATTATTATTTGATCGGAAAGTAGTGCTTAGAAGCAACATAGAATTAAGAGGTTTCCGTAATATTGCCTGGCATGATCATAATATTAGAAAAATAAGATAACAACAGATTAGAAGCAACTTAGAATTAAGAGCTTTCCGTAATATTGCCTGGCATGATCATGTCTTATTAGAAAAATAAGATAACAGCAGATTAGAGATGATAATGAGTTGGGACCAAGCAATAAAATAGGCTTTGCTGTTTGCTCCATGATATTAAGGCCCTATCCTTAACAAACTTTGTACCAGCTCCCCTATTTCGTTAAAATTTGGGTTTTTCTTAGATATTAGTCACTTAAATTTTTAATAATTTTTTATTAGTCCCTCAAATCTTAGAAATTGCATGTTACCGTTAAATCTTTAATAATTGCATATTAGTCCCTCAATTTTTATAATTTGCATATTAGTCCCTCAAATCTTGTAGAGTCTTGCAAAAATGGTCCCTTGGTTAGTATTTCAGTTAAAAAACTTAATCATGGTTGGGTTAACTCCTAACCCAGAATCTACAATCACCAAACTATTTCACCTCTCCGATGTTTCAAACCTTTGTGAAGTTTAACTTTGGGTTACGATATTTTGCTAACTATTAAAGAATAAGAAGTCAAGTGAGTTTGGATTTATTTTAAGCTAGTCTTGAGTTGAAACTGGCTAAAATACGACTTTAGCATATAAAGTGACACCCTCTAATCAATAAAGCCTAAAATAACACCAGCGATAATAACACTGTAAACTGACACACTTAACCGTTTACACCTACTTTGGTCATCGAAGTTTTGATTTGAGCTAGAAAATTATGGATTTCTACATATATACCCCACATGTCTCTCATACTTACAGATTTAACTCCCGAATTAAAATATTTGCGCAAAAACGTAACTCTCTCTTTCTTCTCACATCTCTCTCCTCACTCCCCCTCACTTTCCTCCTTCACTTCTCTCCTTCCTTCTCTCCTCCCCTTCCTCCACGCCCTTCTCCACTTTTAGTTAATGTTGGAGGGGAGAGAGAAGAGAGAGGAAAAGGAAAGGAGGGAAGGGAGGAGAAGACTGAGATGAGAGAATAAAGAGAGGTTTTGCGGAGCAATATGGTTGGAGAAGGAGAGTGAGGGTTTTGTAAAGGAGGAAAGAGAAGAGGGAGGAAAAGTGTGGAGAGTAGGAGGATGAAGCATATGATGGGGTTGGGAAGAGAGAGAATTTTGGGAAGGATGAAAGGGGAAGGGGGTTAATCTGAGAAGGAGGAAAGTGAATAAGGTGTGAGAGGGGAGAAGAGGAGGATGAATGAGATGATAGGAAGAGAGAGGGGGATCGAGAAGGGTGGCGGGGGCGGGAGAGGGAGGGAAATAAAATTTTTTGTTCATGTTCTGAATTTTAGAGGGGAAATCTATAAGTGTGATATATATGAGAGGTAACCTGCAGAAATCTATAATTTTCCAGCTCAAATCAAAACTCCAACGATCAGTGTATGTGTAAACAGTTAAATGTATTAATTTATACGTGTTAGTATTATCAACATAATTTTAGGTTATATTGATTAGTTGGTGTCACTTTATAGGCTAAAGTGGTATTTTAACCAGTTTAAACATATTAAGAAATGGGTTGGAAAACATTATACATGGATAAAATGGTCACTTTGCCTTAAACCATCAGATTTAACATAATATTCCTCTCAAATTTATTGTGATTTAACTCGAAAGACCATTTTGCAAGATCGTATGAGATTTTAAGTATGCAATTTCTAAGATTTGAGGGACTAACATGCAATTATTAAAGATTTTAACGGACTATTATATAATTTCAAGGATAAGAAGGACTAATAATGAATTATTAAAGATTTAGGACATGTCTGGGTTTTCAGTGGGGTAGGAGAAGTTAAGGAAAAATAGGAGAGAAAAGAGGAGGGACGGTAAGATAAATCCCTTCTCTTAGATTCTGCCCCAACTTGGAGGGGAACAAATTTCTGTTGATTGTAGGGTAATCAACAAGAACGAGGATGAACTCTTTCACTCTTAGAAACTTTCCAAACGGATTCAATAGGTTCCCCTACTTTCTCTTCTCCTCTATTTTCCTTTATCTGAATAGGTCCTTAAGGGACTAATATCTTAAAAAGCCCTAAAAATTACATTGAACTAGATTGATATATGAATGTTCTAAAGAAACATTTCATAAAACTTAGGGTGTGCTACGCAACTCTTTAGTTATAGAGATATGTTTGATCCTAACTTAAATTAGAAGTTCTTTTTTGGTTTTATTTATTTATTGGTTGGTGGTTTGGAGGGTGGGGCGCAAGATAGGGGAGCAGGGAAAAAATAGGGTTAGGAATAACCTCTACTTATTTTAGTTCAATTTTCACCAACTGAATCGGTTTAGTTGTCATAATCAATATCATCAGTCTGTAAGGGCCCTACCCCACATCGAATAAATCTTAACCATTGAACAACCTGAATGATTTGAACCGTTAGATTCCATCACACTCTGAGATCGTGACAATTTCTTTTTATATTTTTCCTTCCAAACTTTTGGACTAAGATTAGAAAGCTTTGGAGGCCAAAGAGAGACGTTCTTCATCACCAAGGCAAGTGCTTTCACTTGCCAAACTTTATTATTTCAAAAATCCAAAATATGTGTTTTGTAGATCTTGTCAAGGTTTATCTTTTCATCTTTAAAAATCTTCATTTTCTTAAATCGTTTTTAAAATCAATATGATTTTCATTGAAAGGAGAACCTTAGGTAAGGTTTCTTCACAATCTCTACAAAAGGGGAGGACCTAATGTTGTAAGAAATAGTAAAATTGCATTCTCATAATTTTTATTGAATTTTTGTGGGTTCTAGTATGTAAATAGCTCTAAAATTATGGTAGATTGTTATTTGAATGCTTGTAGGAGAGATTGGAGAGAGCTTTCATCATTTTTTACGAAAGAGCTCCCTAAGCTTGAGCAATACTAGATTAGGTTATAAACAATGATTTGAAGTGAAAATTATTCTAAAAGATACCCGTTGATGCTAGAAAACATAGATAGAAAGTAGATTTTGATTTGGTTGGGTCTTGATTAGGGGTGGCAAACGGGTCAACCCGACACGACCCGACCCATATAAAATTTGACCCGACCCGTATAAGTATGACCCGACCCGACCCGTTTAATAAATGGGTCAATACGATCCTACCCATTTATTAAACGGGTTACCCGACCCGACCCATATAACCCGAATGACCCGTTTATCAAACTTCTAACAATGAACTTAAACTGTTCAAATTTTCCAAACTTCTAAGTAATGACACCATTTCTCATGCATCTGAAGGTCACCCCCTAGCTTGCATTTTTTTTTTCTCATGCAATATCAGTCATCAAAAATAAATATGAACTTTGATCTCGAGTTTTAGTTGAATACATCATTCATCCTGAGAATTGTGAGGCAAGAGTACAATCTTCAACCAGGTAAACAATTATGTGAGTACCATAAATGGACATGTCCAAAAACTGATAAGACCTAATACATATTGCTGCAGTTTCCAACTTATATTAATACAGTTCTATTCGAATAAGTTCATGATCACAAGGTGGAGAATCAGATTGCAGAGGACAAAATCAGCAAAAGCTCGCTCCGGTGGCAAGTCCTGCAACGAGAGGGTGGATTTGTTAATAAAAGCGCAGCTCACAAGCATATTTGGCACTGGTAAGCACCTAAATGGAGTGACTAATTCTGAACTCTTCATAAGAATGCTTTGAAATGTACTATCTCAAGAGTGACTCAACTATCTCAAGAGTACCAATTTTATTATCCAATAGCATAATCTTCACAAGTAGCACGATTATCAATATTGTGCATCCAACTTTTATTAGGGGCCATATTCTCGAAGCAGACATGATAACAAAATTACCTAAACAATTATCACAAATATATTAACGATGCGTTAAAGAAAATCTGAAGTTGCTAACTAATAATAATAACATGTTGAAGGCTTAATAGTAACCACCAATGAAACTGACAATAAACAGAGAGCACAAATACTTATAAGTACAGACAAGAGAAGAGACAATGTAATGTACAATATCAATAGCTGTTAATCAGCTTTGTTGGAAGCTGAATGATAATAGTATGCAAAACAAGTAGGAGAGTACTACAGCGAGTATATTTGATTCAAATTTTTGAGTGACAAACACAGACAGATTAAAATGTTTGATTCAAAATTTTAACTTAAAGTTGAAACCGAATATTGCAAAATATACAAACTTTGTACATGTGCTCACTGAAAAATCAGCATCATGTTTTAAACTGGATAGATATTGTAGGCTGTTTTAAACTTAGTGAATAGAGAGACTTATTTTAAGATACTAAAGAGTTCGGAATAATGCACTGTTTGGTTGCTCTCCTCAATCTAAAGAGCATGATTTACGTTACAATGTGGAAGTTTGTCTTTCACATTCTATTACCATCCATATTGCTCGAGTACTCATTAAAGAGAGAGAAAAGCTTGTCTTTCACATTATTAAGCTCCGTAGAATTGTGTCCATATAGCCCATGATAGCAAAACTCTACAAATTGCATTTTGTATCGGGGATCCAAGATGCACGCAATAGCAAGTAGAACATTGTACTCACTCCAATATTTTTCAAATTAACTACTGTTATGTTTACTTTTTGATATGGTAATTAATAGACACACATATAAATAGGACAGGTATTTCAAAAACTTGACCAATGCCCAATAGTTAAATATAGAAACAGCAGCCAGTAAGAATTAGTTAATTTAGTTTGTTAATGTCAAACTAACATTCCATTAAAAGCTCTTTTATTTAGAAATATTATGAAAGGGATAACAACAGATCAAATTACAACTAATATTGTCGCTTTAAACTTATTTTGTGTGGTCTCAAAAGAAAAGATTACAAGGTACCGCTATGCACAATGCAAAGATAGACATAAAAAGAAAACTAACAAACTAATTAAGTACCAAACTCAATGTATATAGTATCTCCCTTTCTCAATCTTTTCTCTCCATTACAAACAATTTTCTCTCTTTTATCCACTTCCAATGGAGTCATATATTAAATTTTTCGATATCATCTTGGTAATTAATAGACACACATATATTAAAATTTCTCTCTTTTATCCACTTCCAATGGAGTCATATATTAAATTTTTCGATATCATCTTGGTAATTAATAGACACACATATATTAAATTTTCTCTCTTTTATCCACTTCCAATGGAGTCATATATTAAATTTTCTCTCTTTTATGTTGACAATTTTCATGGAAAGTGTAGGTGGACCTCGTGGGAGGATACTATGATGCAGCAGACAATGTAAAATATGGCTTGCCCATGACTTTTACAGTCACAACTCTGGCATGGGCTGCTCTTCATTATAACCAAGAATTACAAGCTACAAATGAGCTACAAAATGTTCATTCAGCTATCCGTTGGGGAACTGATTATTTCCTAAAATGCAGCGTCAAGAAAAACTAATTATATGTTCAGGTAATTAAAATTTATTAATTAAACATATCAAAATCATGGCAGAGTAATAGGTTAAGGTTAGATCCTCAATACTGATTGTCGATATTCAAACAGTCTACTTAAAAAATAAATCACTATCAGTGATAAAGAGTACATCAAAAGATGGAACTCTAGCCAGATTTCACTAATAAATGAGCATGAATGAAACCCTAGTAAGAGGAATAGATGTCTATGATCAAATTCATTTACATGAAAGCCAATGATCAACTCTGGAAACAGAACATTTGAGCTACAAAACTTGAACATTTACATTTGAGCTTCGAGAGAGAGAGGGGGAAACTTACAGAGAGGATCGCGCTGTGAATTATTGGGAAACAAGGGTCTAAATTAGAACGAAGACCAAAATGGGGAAGAAACAACGCCGCTTGCCTCCGCTTGTTCACCGTCACTCGTCGTCGACACCTCACTCCGATCGCCGCTGCTCGCCGTTTGCCGCCGTTAGCCGATCGCCGCCGCTCGCCGATCGAGCTTCCTGATGGGATCTAGGGCCGGCGCCGCTCGCCGCTTGAGCTTCGTGGTGGGATCTAGGGCTTTTCTTCGTGATGGGATCTGGAGCTTATTTCTGTCGCACGGGTTTAAGCAGGTTGTTATTCGGGTCGGTACTTTCATTATACGGGTCAGTGGCTCAACCCGAATTTACCCATCTAATAAATGGGTAAATTCGGGTTGACCCATTTATGACCCAACCCATATAACTCAACCCATACCCATTATAAACGGGTCGGGTCGGGTCGGGTTGATGGGTCGGGTCAAAATTTGCCACCCCTAGTCTTGATCAAGGTATGTATCGAAAAAGATCAAAAATCACAGATCTCCATAACTAACGTCGACCCTGTCCTATAGTAGCCTTGACTCTTAGAGAAAGATCGTTCTTAGTTTTTGTGTTATAGTGATCTAGCATCGACTTTGATCTTTTGTAATGTCAACCTAGATTGGGAATCTCACAATACCCAAACTTTGACAGGATCACACTTAAATGGACAAGTCTGATGTGGCATGTTCTAGTATTGACCCTAGCAAGTCCTAGCGTCGAACGCTAAGCTTAGTAAAAATAGATTCTTTTATGTTTTTTCATTTTGGATTTCTATACTTATGTAGTTGTTTGTTATAATATCTTAGATATATTTATGCTTGTTCTCACCATCTTGGAAGTGAATTCATGTTTTAATAATGATTATTCACTTTGTTTTGATAGAGTATCATTTTTGTTATTGTGCTATGTCATATTAGTTGTTTTATTTTCGCATATCCATGACGCTCTGTTATGCCATGTTACGACCTAAACTTCATGGGTATTATGTATGCGGGTATTAGGAAATTACCAAGACTTTTAATGTGTTGGCACATTATCATGAGACTTGACAATTAGTGGTATGCATGATTAGGTGCCATGCTCTAGAGTTATACCTGATGAGGATGAATGCTATGTGTTTGAATATTGGATGTGTCCCTCATGGCACAAAATCAAGAACATGTATGATAAATCAGGAACAAGTTTTTGGTTTGGGATACACTGCATCTAGTGAGTGGGGGCTTGTGATCCTCCATCATTCAAAACTTAATCATGTATATATTATGATAAGCAAGAAGCCAAGATCAAGTAACCGCGTGTATCATGCCATGAATGACTTGTGTTTGATGGCTTGTGTTTGATGGTTGATGAGCATTATTCAGATCTTTAGAAACACATTCAAAGAGCGTGCTCATGGGATTGACTTTATCTATGGATCGAGTTGTTTGGACCAAATGCATAGTATATCATGTATAATCAATTAATAAAAAGCTCATGTGGGTTAATTTTCGTGGAAAGTTGGATATCTCTTAGGAAATTTGTGGTCCAAGGTTGTGTTTGACCACCAGTGTATGAAGGATGGTTTTATGTGCATAAAAACGAAGATCGATTATGAAATGAAGATCAAATTACATATGGACATTTCAAAACACATTATCTAACGAGACCCTTTCCAACTAAGATAATGATAAAAGTTATGTGGTAGTTAGTTAACACACATTATCTGATGCATCACACATGAGGTTATAGACGCACACTAGGTGTTATGATATCTGTGTTGCTTATCTATGTTCTTACATGTTGTTGTTTATCTATTTTTGAGCATCCAAATTTAGTTTCTGTGATGCATAGATCATGACTACTCTACAATGTTACCTATTATGTACATTCTTGTTGTGGGCGTCAAAAATTGCTTATAACTTCCATGATACAAATCAAGACAAAGAAGAGACGATTCTGATACCAAAAGGAAGCGACAGAATGCGCGAAATAAGGAAGCAAAGGAACGTACAAAATGACAAAACGATGAAGTGAGACACCTAAAGTGTCTCAAAGGGAGTGACACAATAATGTGTTTCATACCCAAGTGCGAGACACACAATGTGTCTCACGCACGATAAACTCCAAAAACATATTTTTTGATGATATCTCGGGATTCGTGTGTTCTAGTTACTTCCTAACTGCTTTGGGAGTATCCTTAATCACAGGAAAGCGGTCATTAACTAAAGACATGTTCAAATCATGAGATTTTATCCACAAACATAGCATTCGAAGCTTATAAATACCCCTTCGTGCATTTATGAAGAGGACGAATGTACGTGTTTGAGAACTTACGATTTTTAGAGCAGAGCCATAATTTTTAGAGAGAAAGGCGGGATCTTGGTGAATTCTTGCATATAAAGAGAAGATTTCGAGAGATCTGCGGACTTTTATTCATTCCCTTAAGATCTAATCGTTGTTTTGATCTTAAGAAGAGTAGTAGTCTCACCTTGTTGAGATTATTTACTTATGTTCAGAGTTTCCTTGTTAAAACAAAGAACACTGAGCCTTCTTCACGATCAATCTGGATCTGTAAATCGGTGGTCCACTGGCTAACACATCCCCAGCACTGGTAAAGATCCCATGCAAGCAGCAACCAATAAACGACCTCTGCATGTGTTTCTAGGAGATCTTTTTTGTTTTTGTTGTAGTGAGAAGTTTTATAAAAAGACTAACTTCTTTTAATCTGTGTAAATGATAAATGTTGTAATGGGTTCAACAATGAAATTGATCTCTAAAGCAAACACGTTGGCGATTACAGTGGATCCTCCTCCCCTCACAAGTGCAGGAAGATCTCTCCTTCGAAGAAGGTTCGCTGGTCTTCATATCTGAAGAAGACCCAGGGTGATGACTCTCACCCAATTATTGTTGAGGCTCCCCCTTGTAACATCTCTCTGACGATCCAACAAGTCGGAAGCTCTGCTCATAATAACTCCCCTCCAGTCAAGTAGTTGATCGATCAAGTCGCACCAACTCTGACAAAGAGGGATCATCAGAGGTAACGCCAACATCTCGCATGTTAATTCGCCAAAGCCTTGGAGCAGGTTGACGGAATCCGTTATCACGCGGATTTAGAGTTAAGGAGGCCTTAAGTCACATAGCCCGTCTTAATGATAGTAGATTGGTGTTTCCTCCAAACCATCAACCAACGAATGGGTTTGTGTCAGAAGGACTCATTTAACTCTCGACGAACGCATCCAGAAGCGTCGCGCACTTTTCATACATGCGTGTATTCTTGTGCAAAAGGCACAAGAATTATAGAAGGAAGAGGTGGCCAAAGAACCACCAAAACTACGCAAAATCTATATACCAAAGTCCAAGACCACACAAAAATTAGGTGCGGACATAGCGAAAGAAATCCCTGGCAGCTGAGACAGGCTACCATGTCTCACACGCGAGACACACAATGTGTCTCGTACCGAAGACATGAAGTGTGTCTCGTGCTCCGTCACATGCCGTACCTCCCATGAAGCCTCACAGTAATGTCAATCTGTCCAGATTCAAGATAACAATGGCAAATCGCCTTGGTCCTTTGCACGAAGATCGAGGCAAAGCTCCTGTTAAAAACTCTTAGGTCCGATGAATACATCCTAAGTGACTCTTCAGTTTGGGGGTTGTACACGCTCTCCCGCTAAGCCAAAGTCAGTTCCTATCTCCACCCACTTAGGGGTGTGTGTTTAGACCTAGGAGCCCATTGAGATTCCACATTCACATGGGGGTGGTTCCAAACGTGTGACTTTTGAGAACAGCAACAAGGCTTTACATCCCCGGAAGAAGACATGTTCGTCAAAAGATGATGTTACACCTGGGGAGTCAAACCAACAGCTGACAGGTTGCTCCGGTCATCATGCCGATGAGTTGTACTATCGGACTGGGGATATGAACAAATCTTGGAAGAGAAATATCTGAGAAACAAGCTCTCATTGTAATTGTGAGAGGCTTATCAGGACGGTATTATAAGAGTGTAGCTACCCCAAGACCACTTTGCAGAGGGTCACGGTATTTGAGAGACTTTCCACTGAAGTGTTGAAGCCCAAGCCAAGACATTTTTGCAAGAAAAGATTACCCGTCCAAGGTGACGAACTCCTAGAAGTTACCGTTAACATGGCCGATAAACGGAAGTTGACATGACATTCTAGTCCTAATTCTTTTCAAGGGATATCCCAACGCCTAAGTTAATGCGTCGAATGCTTGCTCCGCAGTCACTTTAGATAACACAATATCTAGCATCAAACGAGTTCGGGAGGTGTTCACAATCACTCTCGATCAGCTATCTCAAATGCTTCGGGAACCTCTAAATAAGCAGAAAGAAGATCTTAGAACTGAAATGAGAGTTGATGTGGAGTTGAACATGCAGCGGATGAGGGAATTATATGCCTATTAGTTCCAAACTAACCCAAATCAGTGGGTTGAATCTAGTCATCGCAACACTACTAACAATGTAGATATCGACTCAGAGGTGGATGAAAATGTCAACGCTGGTACCCCTTAAGACAACAAAAGCGCTAGGGGTGGTCCCATCGACTCTTCTCAAAATCACCCGAAGAAAGATACAGGTGAAGATAAGTAGATGAAGGACCTTGAGAGCAAAATCAACGCCTTGATGTTCGCTCAAGAGGTAAAGAAGACCGGCATCCAGTGTCCATACCCGAGAGAATGGGAGTCAATTCTGTATTCGGCAAAGTTAAATCTAATTAACTTCATGCCGTTCGACAGGAGAGGCTCACCTACTCAAATCCTGATTTCTTTTAAGTCCCACTTGGACATGATCTCTATCAATGAACCTCTGATGGTCCGGTCATTCGTTGGGACCCTTTACGGGGCCGCCTTCTATTGGTACCACTATCTCAAGCTGGGGAGTGTCAACAACTGGGACAACATGGAAAGCCTATTTCTCACCAACTTTTTGGACAATGATACTGAAGTGTCGATCGGAACGCTCTTTGATGAGAAGCAGAAAGAAGGAGAGTCGGTCGATAACTTTGTCAAACGCTTTTGGAATAAGGCAATGAATTGCCGAGATCCGGTCACGAAAGAATTCATCTTCTAGACTTGTCATAATAATCTCTCCTTGGATATACTAGAAGCCATAGGAGTAACACCATCCAAAACTTGGAAAAAGTTAGAGATGCACCGCGAACAAGATGAGCGATTCCTCAAAAGGAAGAAAGCTGAGAGAGGCTAACCAGCCACAAGGGCTTCAAAACAAAATTTTGTGCCTCATGGTAGAGGGAAGGCTCCAACAACTGCAGTAGATGCAAATCAGACATTCCAACTATAGTCTCAACAGCAAATGCCGTAGCAGTCACCGTCCCAGTAGCAACAACGACCTCAAAGGAAGCAGAAAACTTCGTAGCCAAAATTTCCAAAGGAGTATTCCTTTAAGGAAGATGAAGTTCCTACTATTTTTCAATACTTCCTGGAGAACA